AAGGAAGGATCTGTTGCATAAGCTTGCCTTCTACTTCAGCAGAACTGAATTCCAACCCCTCCCCCTCAATGGCAGCTCATTGACCAAATATCAAGCATTTGAAATTGACAGACACGTCCACATTTTCTGTATTAATATTGTCCCATAACAGACCTACCAAATAGTACAGAACAGAGTAGGAACTCTGGACACAGTTACTCACCACTTCTTTTTCTGATTCATTCTTGATGTTTTCAACAGGTTTTCATGTGAGAGAGAAGGCTAAACAAGTCCTTGCTTTATTAAAAGATGAACAACTGTTACATAACGAACGCGAAATAGCACATCGGACAAGGCGGCGCACTTCTTATGCAATGCTTTTCCCTCAGAAGCCTTCTGCCAAAGCTTATGCACCAACGATGGCTGCTTCAGATTCCACCTCAGAGTTTGTTCCTTTAGTGGAGAAGGTCCGATGTAAGCAACATGTTCCAATTGCTCCTCCCCCCTGCAAAGCTTGTGATTCACATCTTTAGCAACTGAACTCTGAACACAAACATGGATCCTTTAAGTTCCTTGACCAAATACCAGGTGTTTTCATCCTTGACAAATGAGCATATAATATTGGCCCACTTGCCATGGGAAATATAATGCTTTGGTCTGATCTATTTTATCATTTTATAGAAAACAAAAAAAAATGGCATGAGATTTAGTATACGATACAGTGGACCCTCGACTTACAGACGGCTCGACTTACAGACTTTTCGAGTTACAGACTTCTCTGGCTGCAAAATTTAGGTTTGACTTGCAGCTGGGGAATCGACCTACGGACCAGGAAAAAACAAACAAACAAACAAAAAACACCAAATGGAACAAAAACAGCTGGTTATGGATTAATTGGTTTTCAATGCATTGTAGGTCAATGGAGCCTCGACCTACAGACTTTTTGACCTGCAGCCACCGTTCCAATACGGATTAATTCCATAAGTCAAGGGTCCACTGTATTGTTGGGATCCTATACTTGAGCATCAACAGAGCAGAACACTCTGCTGGGGCAATGATATCCACTTTTACACATGGTACTGCTATCGTAATGGAGTTCCCTGTTACGGGACTCTGTCTGGATATTCAGTACTTCTTGTGTAATGGCTTTCACAGTCAAACCATCCACACTAAGCCCATTCTAGAGCAGTTTACTTCAATAGCATCCAAAGAAAAAATCCAATTGAATATCACATCCTAACAGACATGCAAGGGTACCCGCTCTTCCACAGGGGAATAGTGCAGCTTTGCCATTGACTTTCAGTGCACCAATTTGTATTGTTCATTTGCAAAACTGAGTTAGCTTTTAGGTAAGCCCCATGCAACATACAATCTGGGCCAAGGACTTACCCAGTTCTTGTGTAAAAGTCTTTAAATTAGTATTATAGATAGACTGTCATTCATGACTAAGATTAATAAGCAAAGCTGTATAAGATGTGAATGTTTTCCTGTTATTAGACATTACATAATTATGTAAGTTTGCAGAAATTGATGCTTATGTAGGAATTTAGGTTAGCGAAGAAAAAGAAGATAAAACCAAAAAAAAATTAAGCAACTAATACTTTAATATTAAAATGCATTCAAGGTATAATAAACAACTATTCTAATCCTTCCTTTCTGTGAGAGAGATCCAAGTGTCTCCTGATAAGTGAAAAGCCTATTAAATTAAATGCTATTGAAAGCCAATGGCCTTTTCGGTACTTCACTGTGATTTGTACCGCAGAGAAATTAAGCATTTTATTTAATATTAATTATTCTTTTTGTGGCTGCTGCTACCATTGCCATAGGGAGGAAACGTTTTAAGGATTGCAACTGGAAACACCAACCAGCATGGTCATGAAATAACATCAACTCTGAGAATCCCTAGCCAGTTAGCCAACTGGCCATGTTGCTGGACAAGTCTAGGAACTGTATTCAAAAAATGTAACTTTTCCAAGTCCTGACTTTTATTCATAGCCCTCCATCAAGTTTCAAGATAATGAAGTCTTTGTGGGAGGTATGGATAGAACTCAATAATGTTTACAAACAAGCATGCCCATTAATTGTAATGTCATTTGTCATATGGACAGTGTGTTTAGAACTGCAGCATTCATTAAAAACAACAATGATGTTAGTGATTGTGGTGCTGCTCCGGAAAGAAAAAGACAACAAGGAATCATGCATAGGGTCAAAATGACAAAATATTGCTGGCTTTCATTGCTGCTCAGCTTCCTCCTCAAAGTGCAAAGACTAGGAGGATACCAATAGAACTGTTCCAAGCTACAGAGACTGAATCTGTCAAAATCCTAAGAAGAATATGTCAACAAGTATGGAAATAAAATAATGGCCTGCAAACAGCAAGGAGATACCAAAAAGTGCATTAACTACATGGCCATTGCTTTGATTTTCTGTGCAAGCAAAGTGATGTTCAAGGTTTTGCAACATGAACTTTTTTACCATATGCGGGGCAAGTAATACCCAAGCTGAGAAAAGTTGAAGGTAGAAGGAAAAGAGAAAGATAAAATAAGAGATGGGTTGACTTGATAAAGGAAGCTACAGCCTTGAGTTTGCAGTCCTCTTGTTGCAGTGCTCTTGATGATAGCTTCTTTTGGAAGTCACTATGCAATTGCTGCAGTGCTCTTCTTGATGATAGCTTCTTTTGGAAGTCACTAACCCATGAGTTGCCATAATTAAGAACTTACTTGACACCACATGAAAACAAAAGAGGGTAGGTAGACTGTTCCCCTAACCCCTTTGTGTTATGGAGATTCATCTGATATGCGTCAAGTATTCTGCCCAGAAATGTGCAGGGAGTGTCCATTGATCTGTTAGGTGCAGTGTATCTAGGTATGCTACTTCTCCCTGTCAGCTGTTAGGTCCTCCTCAGCTAATCTGCAACAATCTATTTTTGCCTTCTTGGCAGCCACAGCATTTGCTCATTATTTATAATTCATGTTATGTATTATCACAGTTACAAAATGGTAGTTGTGCTCACAATATTCATTTCAAAGAACGAGCAATTAATGGTTGAAAAAAAGGATAGGAGTAATTAAGTTCATGCCCCACTTTTTATTTATTTGTTGTTTTTGTGTGAACTTGAGCTCCCAAAACTATGTACACTAAAACAGATATAAAACATTAACTATTCCCTCATGCTCTCACTTGGATGCAGAGCTTAATGTGTTGAAGGGGATTACATGTATTATGAAAGCAGAGACTCTGAGCATGGTCACCCAGAGTTCACATATCCTAAGGCACCAAGTCCCCTTCATGCACTGCTGCCTTGTCGTGGAGGAATGAAAAAGCCACTCCAGTATCTTTGCCAAGAAAACCCCATGAACAGAAACAAAAGGCTAAAAGATATGACGCTGGAAGATGAGCCCCTGAGGTCAGAAGGTGTCCAGCATGCTACTGAGGAAGAGCGGAGGACAAGTACAAGTAGCTCTAGAGCTGATGAAGTGGTTGGGCCAAAGCTGAAAGGACACTCAGCTGCAGAGATGCATGGAAGTGAAAGGAAAGTCTGATGCTGCAAAGAAAAATACTGTATAGGAACCTGGAATGTAAGATCTATGAACCTTGGTAAGGTGGATGTGGTCAGAAAGGAGATGGCAAGAATAAACATTGACATCCTGGGCGTCAGTGAACAAAAATGGACAGGAATGGGCGAATTCAATTCAGACGATTACCATATCTACTATTGTGGGCAAGAATCACGTAGAAGAAATGGAGTAACCCTCATAGTCAACAAAAGAGTGGGAAAAGTTGTACTGGGATGCAATCTCAAAAATGAGAGAATGATTTCAACACGAATCTAAGGCAGACCTTTCAACATCACAGTAATCCAGGCTTATGCAACAACCACCAATGCTGAAGAGGCTGAAATTGACCAATTCTATGAAGACTTACAACACCTTCTAGAAGTGACACCAAAGAAAGATGTTCTTGTCATTATAGGGGA